AGTAAGGGGGAGGGGAGGGGGGAGGGGAGGGGGGAGGTGGTGGCCGCTAAAATATTGACCGATATTTGGGTTACCTCCAAATAAATGAGGGATTAGGTTAACTGGCACACAGCAGTGCTTACGACACATTACGACATGGGCTCAAGTCTGCATGTTTGCAGTCTGCTGTCAAACAGGATCGATGGGAGGTACATATGTAAACGCCCAGTGTGGATTTGCACTTTTTTCTAGCTATTATATGTGCACAGAAAAATGTACTACTGAGTGATAAGAAGTATAAGCCCATACTGCATATGTATATAAACCATCTGCAAAGACGGAAAGTTTGACCTTTGTGATTTCTGACCCTGTGATTGTGGGAAAGGAGACGGCAATACCTCATTAATCTGTAATGTTTACTGCATCCCCGGAGCTATTTTGTGATTACTAATTGTGATTTTGATGCACACAAAAATTCCCTTCCAACATGTCACAGAGAATAGGAAGCAACTTGTTGCACTTGGTGATAATGCTAATAGTGTTATTGCAGCAACAGCACACATAGTTGTGTCTGACTCAAATGTATTACTTAAAAATATGACACATATATACAATATGTGGCTATACTGCGATCTTGTCCAATACATATAATTCTGACTGTAGAGATGTATCCTGTATCTGAAATCAGTCGCCATTTGCAGCTTAATGGGTGTTTACTAGCTACTGTTGTCCAGATTCTTTTTTTATTTTATTTTTATAGATATTTTTAAAAACAAAATGAGTGGGGTGGGGTGGTCCACACAACATTTCAAAAGGAACACAGTGTTTCAATTACACCTACATTTCAATTCAATGCAATGGGTTACATCTTATAGGCACACACATATACATATATATACAGTCAAATTTTGAGATTCAGATTTTTTTGTATCATAGTGTTAAAGTAAATTGTAATTTCTACATACAGTTTATTTAAATGACAACTGTAGTCCAGTAAGTATAAGTATAAGACACAGTCTTAGTCTCTGTTTCTTCCACAACGTATTTCTCCCTGTATGATAAAATAATTGCTTCAAAAGGCGGCTCTAGAGAGAAGTCTTTGCTCTTTGATTCTAGGGGACGGACATCAAATCCTGATCATTACTTTTGAAGATTTTAGACTACATTGCAAAACTTGGAAATATTTCAGGAAAATGTCACATCATCTACATTTATACCCAGGAACGAGGAAAATACACAAATAACAATTAGTCCGGAGAATTCAAAGCACATGTTTGGTACTATAATGTATTTTGCTTTGCCAAAACCATACAGTTGAATCAAATATTGACAAGGAGACTGGACACAAATCCACATAGGCACAGGCATGCAAACATGAAAATACATATTCACTAATTAACATATGCATAATCCCTGGACATGAGCACATTTGCTGAACCTGCACACATGCATGCAAACACACACACACACTTGTTTTCTGACACACCTGTTATCCAGGAGCCTTGTGTTTGACTAACACTTCTATCAGATAGGTGTTAAGGACTTAACATTTTAATAACGCTAATTACTCATCTGAGCGACAACAATGAGCTTATTGCCAAAGACGTGCGATACCTCCTCCTCCTCCAGCGCCCGGCGTCAGATTGGGGAGGAAGATAGGGGGTGAACCCAACAGACGCAGCTTGCCTTACTGCTAGCGTATCTAACAAGAAACAGTACAAGCCCTCATTGGGGAACAAAAGAACCGGCATCAGATTCTGCTATCACACAATTTGATTTAATTAACGAGCTACATGAAGAGCCAAAGACCCAGAAAGAAGAAGAAGAAGAAGAAGCAGAAGAAAAAGGGGAGGGAGGTGGGAAAAAAAACTGTCGCCAGCTTGACTTGGCTGACGAATGACCTAATTGGTTACATTATCAACTCATTATCAAAGGCTAATTAGGGAGCTACAGCACTAATTATGAAAAAAAAATGCAAACGACTCAGTAACCCCCTACTACTACCTCTACATATACCCCCCCCCAACCTCTACCTCCGCCAAAACACCCCCCTACCACCAATTCCTCCACCCCCTCAATTTAGCCCAACACTGAAGTGTTTCAATTTAACAAAAGGTTTCTTTTTTGAAAAAAACAAACAAAAAAAAGGCTTGGAGGGCCTCTATTGTTAGTTGGGAAACAATGGGGCTTGAAGGGGTGGGGGTCTGGTGATGGGTGGGGGGTGTATCATGCTGAGCATTTCTACAAGAGGTGTGCACGTTATCTATGTGTGTGTGCATTTTATCAAGTCAATGGTGCGTTATTGAGTTCTGTGGGCAAGTTAGGAAGTAAGAAAGAGTTCGGTGAGGGTGGGGGTTGCCCTCATTAACCCCCTCCACCTCAACTCAATCAGCCGACCAGCAGGTTAAAGCAACAACACAACCTAATTAAAGCGAAGGACAGAGCGAGGGGTGAAATGTCAACGTCCTCTTTTTTTTCTCCTTCTCTCAGTCACTCTTTTCAGATGATGAGTTGCTGCTCTCTTGGTCGTTGAAGCAAAAAAAGGGCTTGAAGACACTCATTGTGAGTGAGAATTAACTTTGTTACAGATCTAGGATGAGAAGTATTTGTTATCTGTTGTGTTTGGTGAGCCACATACGTATATGGAGACCACAAAAGAGTTCGCAAATGCTTTCTAATTTCATCTCTTAAATCTGTTTGTATGAAATGTAGAAGAGTAAAACAGCAGAATCAGTCTGGTCTTGGTCTTTAACTGTGTTGCATTCTAATTCATCTTCAGCATGATAATATTTTTACATGTGAGAAGAGCTTAAAAGGATGTCAACTGTAAATAAAGTATTAACACTACACATGTGGTTTGATTTAAAACAGGAAATCAAACAACATCTGCTGGCTGTCAGGTGTAGTATTAGAGCCACAGGAGCAGGGATACATAGCTCTCAAACAACTGAAATGGACGAGTGAATTGGCCCCAGAACTGGAAAGGTTTTGTAGTGTTGGAACTACTGGACAGTGAAGTACTAGTTCTGGATAACATCACACCGACTTCACACAATCAGGCTTTAAGATCAAATACTGTATGTTGTAGTGATCCATATTATTTCTGTGATTCCTTGTGAGGGCACTTCCTTTTTTTAAATTTTAACTGTGCCTAAAACGCTGGCTTATTTTACATCATACAACAAATGACCTAAATTACTCAACAAATCACCAAATTGTTCTATTGTGTTGCATACAAAAGATTAAAAAGATAATGAAAACTGAGAAAAGCAGTAATTGTAGTGGAATATTTTATGTTTTATATTTCAAATTTGTCAGTTGCACTTTGTTTTCTAACCTACACGCTGAGAATTATTTTCCACTTCCATCTCTGTGCTCATCTTCTGTTTTTCTTACTCATCTCTTGACGCCACGAAAGTGATAGACCAAGACCTTGTTTCATTCCTCTCTCGCCTTTACTCTCTTTTTTTTTGCATTTGTCATATAGCTTTCCATCTACACCCCTGCCCCCTCCTCTCCTCTCTGCCCCCCAACCCCTTCCTTTGCGCTCTTTCAAGGTCCACAGGCTCGACTCCACCTTTTCAATTCGGCTTCCCAGCAGCACTACTTAGTGGGGAGGTAATTGGAACCAGTGCTATCAGTGTGATTGAGGGAGCAAGAGGTGTGTGTGTGTGTGTGTGTGTGTGTATGGGGGTCTGTATTAATGTCTAGGGTGTTGGTGAAGCATGGAGCAAAGGGGGCCCCATGAAAAAGGGGGTCAAACACATAGAAGAGCATTTCAGCGTGGAGTGGAAGAAAGAGCGAGTTAGAAGGAAGATGAGGGGAGAGGAGAAGGCCGAGGCGAGGCCATAGAGGTTGTGAAAAGATAGGGGCCCATACTGAGATCACACCTGCTCTCTGACTGACACACACACACACACACACACACACACACACACGTATGGGTTACAAGACGTGCAAATGAAAGACTGAACAATCAAAATAGGTTGTGTAGTATTATTCCTGTAAAAATTATGTGTGTGTATCTTCATTTTCATTCTGTCCAATAAAGGCAATAATACCTCTAAAATTTGCTACATTTGCATATTTAACAAAAAATTACAACTTTGTTAAAAAACATATTGTACAACTTCAACACAACTGCATAAATTAATGTGAGATCAGAGGAGTTTGTTTTCCTTCTCTTACCTGCCTGTAATCACAGCACACCTGGGTGTTAAAGATGTGTATGCAATGTGTGTATTTGGCTTCTACAGGGTTCACCAAGTTAAATTTAAGACCTTTTTAATACTGCACAAAGCGCATTTTAATACGTTTCATGACCATACTGGCCAAAGTATGAAAGTATGATGGAAAACCAAAAGATGAATTATTTATTATAATACACTTTGAGTACTTCCCAGGGGTATGTAACTGTAACTTCTAATGATAGAATTAACATGAATCTGTATAAGTGATGTAAAATGGATTGATTGATTAACCAATGATACATTATTTTAGGTGTTATGGGTGAGACAATGCCAAATTCAAACTCCACAATATGGACTGAACAGCCTCCTGCATGAACGATCCACTGTCAAAACAATCCCACTTTTAGATTGATTAAAAGCCTGCAACAATTTATATTACAACTAACATTACCGCCTACAGCGGGTAAAAGGGCATATTTAAGACTTTTGTAAACTAAATTTAAGAGTTTTTAATACCTTCAGAGGAAACTGAATTCACTGCTTTTTAAGACTCTTTAAGACCTGCAGATACCCTGCCAATTGGTGTTATATTTGATCAATGTTGCAATACTGAAATGTAATTTTGTAATTTGAGTAATTTTTCCATTTTTCCTTCATTATATTAGCTGTTCATTTGTGCTCACAGCATGATAAATTACTGGATGGACTGACTTAAAAAGATCCTATAGTGGATTTTACTATAACATCAGTAACCTTTTTGTCGAAGTATGTGTCCCTTTTTTTTTTTTTTTCAAGAAAGCAATTTAAATGGAATTTACTTTCAACTCACCATGAATAAATCGCTGGCTTTTAAATCTACAGCGAGGAGGAAGGCCTTCTCAAAGCGCTGGTGTCTGCAGAGAAAGTGAAAACAGTTAAAAAAACAACATCCTGAAAACAAATCATCAATCTAAAAACACACACTTCCTAATTGATAACAAAACAAACTTTCTTCAAATTTATATATATATGGATAAATCAGTAGTATATTTCCTACTTCCTTTAGTCTGCAAACAGACACACACCTCAATCGACACACATCCACATACACATCTGCGTATAAAACTGTCAATAACTGAACTGAGAGTAGCGGGTCTTCTTCCTATTATCCAGAATTAAAGCTGGGAGAGAGAGAGCTGTATCTCCCAGTACAAAACACCTCAACTTTCCCTGTCTAGAGCCAACATGAAACAAACAAACACAAGCAGAGAGAGGGGGTGTGGGGGGCTTCCTTCATTTGATGTCGATGGAGAGAAAAAGAATGCAGGTAGGTGATAAGAGAGGAGAGGAGGAGGGATGCCAAACAACGCTCCTGCGCTGCTACAGAGGAAGAGAAAGAAAGAGAGAGGAAACTGGAGGTAATTGCAGGATGGAGAGCAGTAAGCAGCAGTGTGTGGGAACAACAGGGTCTATTTCAGTCAAACAGGCATTTCAAAAGGCTCTCATGGCAGAAGGGAAAATGAAACAACAGTCTAAACAGGTGCATGTGAGGTGCTTTGCCTTATGAATGACTCAAAGCTGCATCAGTGTGCGTGCGAGGAAATTCAAAAGCTATTTCCTTTTTAGAATTTTTAAAATAGCAATAGTGAGCGGCAAATAAGCAGTATTAAATTGTATCTTCAATGGATGTCATTTTTTGGACAGTATTTCTTGTTCTGCACCCGGCGTTGCTAAAATGAATAAAATGTTATGCTAATGCCTTAAAAATAGTGATTTATATTTTAATTACTGATCTGTAGCCTGATGGAGGAACATACTGTTTATGTATTTAAATGCATTTAGCTTCAAAAGTGCTTTAAATATAGCTGACTTTGACCCCCCTGAAGAGTTACGTAAAACAAATTTGTCCCTCAGAAGATCAAATTAGGACCACAGCAACAGCACAGAGTAGGTGGTGGTGGTAGGTTACCTGAGGAGGTGGTGAAAAAAGCGCCGTGCATACTTGCTGATTGGCTCTCTGTACTCAAGTATCACCATATTGGAGAGAGGGGCAGGTGGGGCATAAAAAACACCCAGAGATGCTTCTAGTTGGGCTATCGACAGAATGGAAACACACACAATAAAATAAATAAACAATAATAACATTAATAGGATTTTACTACAGTCTTTCACTGTTTGCTGATACACAAGTATTTCATTTTAAAGATACTTCTTATTATATTTAAATTTTTTCAAAGAATTGTACATCCAGAAGAGGAAGTCTAATTCACAAAGTGCTATTTAACAGCAGAATTTAACATAAAATTAAAGCTAAATAAAAATGGTGGAAGTAGAATATATTTTTGTTTACTTGTGACATAAATGGCTCTGGACTATAAACCTCTAGGCTAACATTAGTAGCATTTTTCTCTAAGCACCAAATTCACACAAAACTGACATGCTTCGAATTTGACTACTCAGGTGTGATTCACACAGTGAGATTACTCTAAATTTAGAGAAATATCTGTAAAACTAAAGCCAATCTAACATGTGTTTGACCCGGAGACCCACCCTCTCTTTCTGCATTCAGCTCCAGTCTCAGCAGGTGGTTGGTGACCGAGGTCAGGCCTCGGTAGCATTCATCTCCCATGATGCTCCAGTCCATGGCCTCCAGGATGCCCAGTGCCTCTCTGACCTGGCCACAACGCAGCCGCTGTTGCAGAAGCTCCCCAGGGCCCATCTGGCCACCAGTCAGAGCCCCTGTCAAGACGAGTCAGAGTTTGGTTCTAGTTTATTACATGAAATAAAGCAACAGCAAAGGAAGGATTAAAAAAGGTCCAAATCAAGAGTTAAATGCAGCAGGATCTCATCAATTTTACGATACGCTTTTTATATCTTGGTTGTTTTTAACTATATATTTTAACCGGATCTTAAGTTATGTGATCTTAATGAATGTTAGCAGCCCCTCCACTCCCCAGGACGCCCTTCGTCTGTCCAACAGTCTCAGAGACACAATGATTGTTAAGGTAAAACTGCTTTATTCAGTGTTTGTACCAGTTTTAATCACCAGGTCCGTTTGTTTTGGAGCCGAGGAGGCCTCTGTGGATAACTCAGTAGAGAACTCCTGAGCAAGGAAGCTGACTTTACTGACACCAATGGTGGTGGAGACAACAACTCCCATGAGCTCATGCTACTTCTCAACGTCTCAACTTTATCTTTTATTATTGTTTTGATGTCCGAGACCCCCCAGCAGTGGTCACGTTTAAAAAAAAAAACTGACTTATTTTGTGAAAAGAAGATATCAGATACAAATTATTATTCAAAGTATAGCAGTTTATATACATGTTAAAACATGTCTGGAGGGAATCTTTAAATTTTAAAAATATATTTAACAATTCTTTAAATTGTAAAACATTCTTGTGTTGTACATTGAGCTTAACTACAAATCTGTCAAAAAAAAAATTTGTCCATCCATCCATGTCAGACCCTCTGAAGGAAGTTAGTAATTTTATTTTTTGTTATTTATTTTCTTTATTCAATTTAATCTGATTTATTTTACACTTGTTTGTGTTGGAGAACGTTGCTCAGTATGAGTTGATATTGTAACCGCTTTTATTTGTGTTACATTTACACACTATATTTACATATCCTGGAGCACTTACTTAAGCTAAGTAAGTGTCCAGTGGATCGGCATAAACTCTGAAGCAGCATGAGATCAATTGGACTAGCACTGACTTGTCAATTAGCTGTTTAATCCCTGGAGTACACTCTGTGTGTATCTGTATCTTTGTGTAAAAGCAAAATGAAAACAAGGTTGTTCTCATCACTATCTATTTAAACACATCTGACAAATATTGAGCATACAATTTGTTTACTTATGTTGAGATCATTTGGCAAAATTATATTTTTCTGTAACTTTGCCTGAGACCGTCTGTTGAGAGGAATTATACAACTGATTAGGCCCTTTGACAAGAGCTGATTGATTATACTTTTGTTTGTGTGTGTGAGAGCACATTAACACTCTTCTGAATAATAGAAGGTTTTGTAGCCTTCCCGATAGCAGAGGTGTGTCCTTCTGTGTGTAAAAGGGCAAAGGTGCATGTGTGTTTGAGGCTTTGTAGGGTAGCCTACACATCCGAGAAGTGAAGGTGTTGAATGCCAGGGGTGATTATTGTCCATTGTCACTTAATCACGATGGTGCAGCAGTCAAAGGAATCAACTTAACATGTTTTGGGAAAGGCTGTCGCGTTTGCCAAAGAGGAGGAGCACCAAACTCAAATGCATGTCGCCATACATGACGGGTGTGTCCAAACTTGAATTTGAAATTTTTTTTGAATTTTTTTGAAAGTGCTGACATTTTCCACATAATGCACATAATATTCTGCTACAATGTAGTTAAGCATACATATTCACTAAAAAAAATTTGGACATAGCTAGTGGCACAGTTCTGGACAGAGTAGGTGATCATTGACAGCGATACTGTCAATGGGCCAGACTGCAGGCGACCAAAGTCACTACTGACTCTTGTCTAATTAATTGAAGAAGTTGTGTGTGTCTGTGTGTATGTGTGTGTGTGTGGTATGGGTGTATGAGCAATTAAAATTACAAGCTGGCAATTAGCAAGCCCCCAAATCCCCTAAAGAGTGGGCTAATGTGGCTAATACATCAGCTGAGCATAGTGTGGTTTGTGTGTGTCTATGTTTATGTGTGTGTGTGTGTGTGTGTGTGTGTGTGTGTGTAGGGGTCCGTGAGCTGGGCGTTAACGTCTGGTCTAAGCTAACTCTGAGCAGAGACAATGGGTCATTGTGTTGGCAAGGACAAGTCAGTTCTCTTTCACACCTGTCTACACTAACTTATTTGACCAGCTCAGTTCAGCGAGACAAAACAACACAAGACCAGCAGCAATTGAGAGTTTTCTACTCATACTGTGCACCATCAACACGACAAGTAGACTTCAGAGACAAAACTACTGACAAAGTATAATTCAATAAATCACAGGTAGTTTTAATTCTGTGCAATGTCTCTTTTTCAGAAATGAAAATAACAAAGAATTAGGGATGAGACTAGTTAATCATTTAATAATAGATATAAGCTGCCAAACTAATTGATTAAAAGCCTTAAATCAGATTATTGCCTTGGATGAACTTTATAAATGAGCTCCACATCCAAAGTAGCGTGTGCAGTGGAGGAGAGAACCCACCTTTATGTTACCTTGATGCCTGCTGAGTAAATGTTTTTCTGCTTTAGTATGTAACCAAAATAAACATCAAATAAAGATGCATTGGCTTGGGCTCTCATTCTTCACTAGTTATATCCAGTTACGTAATTCTTCTTTGAACATCAGTAATTTTTCAGTAAATTCCCATCCATACAAAAAAAATGACTATTTTCCTTGCGTGTCGTGCAGCACATTCCCTGGTCTGCCCTTCCACAGACTGTACCGGTGCAGGCCCAGCCGTGGCCAACGTGTGCCCAGATGAGATAACTCGGTGCAGGCAGGAGGGTGGGGGTGGGGGGGCACTAGGGAGGGCTGCCTCCTATGGAAAAAAGAGAACTTGGAGCTTGGCCAAGTCTTTCTTCCTCGCCGCCTCCCGACTCACTCCTTCTGTCATGTAGCGGGCCTTATGAAACAAGTCAATACAGAGAAGGAGCGCAAGCAAACAAACAGATGAGTTGGAGTGTGTGTATGTGTGTGTGTCTGTGTGTGTGCATAGAAGCACAGAAATAGAAGAATACACACACACGTGTTTGTGGGGGGAAGAATTATCATGGAGAAAAGACGTGCAGTGACTTTCTTCATCAAAACCTTGGCAGACGATCAGAGGAGGGGAAGCTATTGTTGGAAGACACCCTCCCCTTTCCCTGTGCACACAGGCAAACGCAGTTGAATACACACACTCAAACACACACAATCTTCTACCTTCCTCCATCCACCCCCACACTTTCAAACTTCAGCAGAGAGCTGCGTGCCACTGTCACATCTTCTTTCCAAAGTCACAATTAAAGACGCTGCATGTGTGTATGTGCGAGTGTGTGTGAGACTTTAGGAGTGTGTTTGTGTATGCGTGTGTTAGAGGGTGAGGTGGCTGCTTCGGAACATTTTTGATTGGCAAACTTTATCTGAGGGCCCCGAGGGACTGCGCAGCCACTGTAAACGATTTATCGGAAAAATGCATCCCAGAATGCACCTGGGGGGCTCTTGCCCCAGGGCGATTATTGAATGACCTCTGAGAGCGTGACTCCTGCTAACCTTCCCGCCCGTCAACAAATTAACTTCCCTCAGCAGTGAAGAGGTCGACCCGTTCAGCAGCCATATTTACACAGTGGGGTTCAGATACAGTGTCAGATCCAAAACAGAGGAAGAGTCTCTGAAGGGAGGAGGGCGCCTTCATTAGGAAGTGATGACGATGAGTGAGCGGACGGTTTGTCAGTTATTTTCTGTTTAGTTTCTATCGGTACAGTTTGTCCCCAAATGCTGTGTTCAATATCTAAATCAAAGTAGACTTTAGCTTCCCAGAAATTCCTTTCACACACACATCTCTATATCAGCTTTCAGTGGTGTAGAGACTGTGAACTGTTGGTTCAGCAAAACAAGCGATCTGAAGACATGACTGTACTGTTTTATGGCATCTTATAGATACAGAATGGATCAGTATATTCAAAACTAATCAACTGAATAATCAGTAAAGGAAATACTTTTTAGTTGAGGCTCAATGTTAAGTTTTGGTTTCTACTCCACAAATATTCCAAATCTCATTGTTCACACATTGTGTGCTACTAGTCATTGTAAGAGTGCAGTCGACCAAATGGTATTTCTGAATCTTATTTTACCCACCTAGTCTGAACCTCAAGGCTGCTAGTGGTCCTTCATGAAAGGCCAACATCAGGATATCGGTCCCCTCTGGGCCTCCTTCCAGGCTGGTCCACCAGTGCAGTCCCTCCAGGCCTCCACCACAGCGCAGGTGCTGAGCTAGTCTTAGCGTGGCAGCTGAAGCTACCTCTTCTGCTACCAGTGCCATGCTTACAGGTGCCAAGCCCACATCAAAGCACATCAGCTCCCCTTGCCCTCCCCCTACCATGACCATGGCCCCAGCAGGATGCCATGCAAGGAGGGTGGGTGGCACAGGGCAGGAGGCCAGGAGAGAGACCCCCCGTCGCTGGTCATACAGGACTAGGGAGGAGTCACTTAAGCCCAGGAGAAGTGTGGTCTCATAGGGGTGACGTGAGCAGGAGACAGGATGGGACGATAGCGGGATGCGGGTGATAGACAGGTGGTGCAGGCGCTCTCGTGCACATTCATACACACAGGCGTCAGCCCAGGACTCCTCTTTGAATTCTTGTGGTCCTTCAGGTAGTTCCACCGTTAGCAGCTGGTACGGCTGGAGCAGGCTGAAGCGGCAGTCCAGGGGATTGCCTTCTGTCCGGACAGAGCTAAGGACCTTTCAGAGGGAGTGAATGTGGAGAAGAGAATGATTTCAGAGTGTTCAGCTGATGCACACTTTAACATCCTCCCTATAAATCTGATCTGATCTGTATACTTTTTTCACTCCACTGGGTAGGAACATGTGTTATGGCACATTCAAACCAAAGATGTTTTAATGCCTTATGACACTGAAGAATTTATTAATTTAGGTTAAATACATCCACTTACTGAGCTGAAAATCCTGTTGAATGAATAACTTTTGCTGACCTTCTTTCTTTCATCTGGTCAAATTTTGTGCAATACTTTGATACAGGGTCTAAAATTAATACATGCCAAGCACCAATACAGGTACATTTTCTGTTTTGCAGACAAATAAATTGGGGTTACCAGCCAAGTGGCCGGTAAATAATTGAGAACCACAGTCTTTTATGTGTACCGGCTGACACTAATGTGACCCTCACTGTCCACTGTACCTATTGTGACATCAGGAAAATCAAATAGACACAGCTTACTACTATTTGCAGCTTTTGTGTATGGGGCACACACTATACTAAGTGAGCTATCAGGTACCCCAAAAAGGGAATTCTTTTTAGTCAAATAATGCATGTTGCAGTTTTATGGCCAGTAAAAAAATATTTACATTGGCAGATGACCCAAAAAGTTAATTTTGGACTTATGACTAAATACTTGCAAAACTAATGACAATTCCATCAGCCACAGTATTTGGGCCATTACACAAACTGTAGCAAACTGATGGAGAATAAAAAGAAAAAATAAGTCAGAATATTAAGAACTGAGGAGCACAACATAAGGAGGTGAAATTATCTGGGAGACTCCATGTTGAGAAACTTTAAGGTTATTGTAAACTTTCAATTTTGATACTGGAGGGGTCGAAGGAGGATTCAACCTGTATCCCTTCAGTAGTGTAGTTTGTATAAGCAAAAGAACTGGAACTTAATCTCCTAATTGTGTTGTTGTTTTAACATGTTCTTCTATTTAGGAATTGGAAGGTGCCGATTTGTGCCAGTACAGTTAATGAACAAACCTGTTTTTGAATAAAAGAAGGATATGAAAGGAGAGAGAACATGTGAGAGAAAGACAGAGACAGACAAATGAGTCATACCATGGCAGCAGCCCCAAACCCCCTGGAGATGGAAGAAATAGAGCCTTTCACTTTGCTCATAAACACACGGCTGTCAATCAAGACAGCTAATGATAAGAGCTCCATTTTAACTCAAGGTCAACAACATCTTCTCCCTGAGCATGCCACGGCTTGGCACCCAGCGCCCAGCGATAAACAACCCCCTCTGTTTACCTGTGTGAGGAGCCAAGAGCTCAACACTAGACATGGTGAATGACAAGAAATGAGCCCTTTTCAATATTAAGAGGATGATGTATGAAGAAAGCTTGGAATTATTTGACCGATGGTCAAATCCAGTATTTAGATTATTCGGTCCTGAACTACAACCAGTCAGTGGGAGTGGGCACAATAGCCCTGCTAAGCAAGCAAGCATTGACACTGACGGAGATAGGCCGTGTCACGGGTGGTACTGTCGATAAAACACCCACAAGGAACCAGGAACAGTAGGTGGATGACAGGAGACAACAGCCTGTATAAACAGCAGCCCAACAGTTCCACAGTCACTAACAGAGCTTTTTAGGAGGGATTTCACCTTACCAAAGCCTCTATCAGAGCCCTGCATTGACCGTGGCAGCTTTGGCTAAATGAGCCCATTTCTTTTCGCCGTGCAGACAGAAAGAGGGATCTGCTGCCTGCCTGCCTGCCTTCCTTTCCTTTCACAAAGCTGCCCGGCCCAGTTTTTTGGCAGGCATTGCCAAAAAGGGACTTAGAGGGAGGAAGAGAGGAGTTTTTTTGCCTGCCCATGGTCTACAGCAGATGACTGTCCTCCTGAAAGCTTTTTTTCCCTCTCCATAATCCCCCAGAGCTAGCTCCTGCTGCTCCCCAGGGGGTGGGTGATGTGTGTGTGTGTGTGTGTGTGTTTATTTGAGGCAGCAGGCAAGAGGGGCTCAATTCATGTAAGAGGTGGGGTATCCTTGGAAGGGTGCGGTTCTCTGGATAGCTACATGTCTGTGGGGACAAAGTGGCACATGCATTAAATAAACTTGCACACAAACACATAGCAAGTGAGGGTCCATAGAGTCCATCCCACAGAATGCTGTCACAGGAATCGCAAGACCTACTTCAATTCCACAAACCCTGACCCCCCAACCACATCTCATCCTCTCAGCTTTTCATCCTGTGCCCGGCTTGCTAGTGCCCGCTGTGCCAGCATGCCACCGTGGCACCATCAGGGATGAGGTGCAGCTGATTCAGCTCTGTCTTCCCTGATAGGTGACCCTCCAAGGAAAGGAGAAGGGGGGACAGTGTCAGCTACAGCTCAGAGGAAATGAGTAAATACTGCATGGCCTAATTCAACCTGCAACAGCCAATATTTTAAAGAGTTCAAGACCAATTAGTGTTTGTTGTTCTTACTTTATTTTACACAAAATCCTCATATGATGTGTTCTACTACATGTATAACCCATGTCCACAACTGAGTTTATTAGTTCAGGTGGGGCCTCATTGCACTGACATTTAAGGGTTCAATTTAAGATCCTTTAATTCATATTCAAAGGGCTTCAGTTTTAGATATTCACACCTAATATTCAGCAGATAAACTCTAGCCACATGATGTGCGTTGTGTGCTGACTTTGTTCGTTGAGCACTCTGAGATCAACTGGACCTGGACTTTTAATGTCTAGCTGGAGTCCGTTTTAAATGTTTGGTAAAAGTGCAGTACTCAAAAATGTCATTTTTACTCTGGGTCATTTTTATGGGCACGCTGTACCTCGTTTTACAGCCCATGTGGACTGAGCAAAGGCAGGCAAAAGGCCCCTGAAGGCAACACAGCTGATTAGGAGATTAGTGAACGGCACTCAAGACTTTCAGGGTTATGAGGTTTGAATCTTTCAAAACAAACTCTTGAACTGCAAACACTCATGCTACCGTGAGCATGATGAGATATCAGACCAGTGATGACATATAGATTTATCTGCAGAGGATTCATGTATGAACTCTTATAACCGGTTGTTTAGCTAATCAGACATCATTTGAAGATAGATCAGTCTAAAAGTCATGCTCAGTTGACTTAATTGTGATTTTTTGGGCCAAAAAAAGCAAGTGGCCAGGATGAGTACAAAACGACGTTTCTGTGGACTGGTCTTACAAAACTGAATAAGGCTGTTCAGTACATTTACAATTCTTCTATTATTTTTTATTTTATAATGTTTTTTTTTTTGCCTTTTTATGCCTTTATTGGATAGAGACAGCTGAAGATCGACA